AGAAGCTTATTACAAAGTTGTCTTTGTATCCCTTTCAGAGTTAAGATTACAGCTAGATCCTCTTCCTCACTGGCATCAAAAAGGTTGAAAATGTTGCCTGCCGGTTTCTTGCAATCCTCTGAAAATTTTTAAAGATATATCCCTTGGGTGATTATATTCAGTGTGAAAAATCATACTTTATACCCTGAGATGACTCCTTCTTTGTGGACAGCCCACTGTATATATAACCTGCTACAGATTAGGGAACATTCTCCCATTGCATACATCAGATCTTTGTATTCCTCAGTTTGTTGTTAGTTTGCTTGTTTTGGTTTGAGGGGGAGAAGGTTGTGTTTTTTTAGGAGATACTGGGGGGAAAAAAAAAAAAACATTAAAAAAAAGCTCCTTCACTTTCCACCACGTAATACTGAACTAGTAAGTACTAGTAGGAAAATGCAATATTCTGTATGGTTTATTTGATCACACTGTTCTCTGATGCTACATCTAATTTTTCCAGCCTGACCTTTCCTAAGATTCTGCTGGCTCTTACACAGGGATTTAAGTAAAAGGGTAAAGCGTTTTGCATGAATATAGAAACAGAGTAGAAATTCCATAAAATCTACAGAAGCAAAAGAAACTCAGGGCAATTAATGGCATTCATTGAGTCCACTTGCTCTCAGGGAACTTACTATCATACCCTACACAGCAAACCCCTGGAGAACGTGCTGTTTCGCTTTTCCTGGAAGAAAGAGGGCTAGAAAGAATCAAAGGAAACAAGGATGCCCACGGGGTGAAATCAACCATTTATTAGACTACTGTTTTTGACTTTTCTATTTTAAGAGTAAAAATTTGAGCTGTTAGTAATGCTGTGCATAAGTGTGACCCAGCCCCTCCTCCAAAAAATAGTCTTTTCTATCAAACTCAAGCCCTACTCCAAAATTAAATCCTCTCAATATTAAGGTTTTTACTACCAATAGCCATAAAAAATAGGAAATACTAAAAACAAGAAACATGGGAAATTATAGAATTTCAGAAATGTTAGCAAGTTCAGACAATATGGTCCCATCCTATAATTCCTAATATCCTGGCCAAACTGAGTTGGTTACTGGAAACCCCATTGCTGCCCTGTTCTGCTTTTGTTTCTGAAAGTGGAACTCCATAAAACTTATTCCTCCTCCATCTGACCCAAAGAGAAAGGTCTTGCTGACATGGTTCCTGGAATGAGGCTCAGCTCAGACTCTTATACTAGGGTAAAGAACACAAAATAAATGCTCCTTTATTCCAAGCAAGTGAATTGTTCTTTGAGGACCTCTGGGTCCTATTTCACAAAAAGGGTTAGCTGTTAAGAAGGCAGAGTGGTTAAGAACATAGGTTCTGGGATCCAAGTACCTAGGTTTAAATGCCATGGCTGCCCCTGCCTCATTCTTTGAACTTGGAGAAGTTTCTTGACCTTCATAAATATTATTTTCTCCTCTGTAAAATCAGAATAATAATATAACCTAACTCCTATGGTTGTCTGAGTATTAAGAGCTAATCTATAATGAGTCCTCAATAAATGTTAGTAGCTATTAATATTGTTATTGTTATTTGGAGTCCTGCATACTCATGGTACCCACTTCAATTCACAGTCAATGAAGAGAAATGAGCCTTATACCTCTTCCTGAGAACCCATCATTTAGATTCAGTCAATACTCTGGGTTATCTAGTGATATTCAGTTTTAAGGGGCAAGCTGAGCTAAAAATCTATACATGAATATAGGTTCAAAAGTTGATATCTCACTTACATGCAGCCCCATAAATTTTCAAGATTAAAAAACCAGCATCATTACCTTCAAGAAGTTTTGTGGATTCACATCAGAATGCCGACTAGGAAATCAATATTTTAGCAATAGTAAAACCTGAAACAGTGGTCCCCTAAGGAGTACTGTGAGGGCTGGGTGAAGCAGTATCTGAACCAGTTATTTATTGGCTATGAAGACAATAGTCAACAAAGAAGATATTTATTAGAGGCTGCCACTATTTCTTAACAAACCAAGTCCACTTATGCTGAATTATGGAGATACCTACAGAAGCAGGATGATTAAAATAATAACTGGACTATTTTACAGTAATAAGTACTCACCATGATTTTGCTTATATGAAGACAGTTCCTATGATAAAATTATTGATAGCTTCCATGAATTGTTCGAAGTTTGGAATTCTTGTGGAGTTTTCAGGTAGATAAGTTATCTCTGCCCATCAAGAACTTTATTAATAACCATCTCATGTAACTCTGACACTCAAAAAATTTCATAAACATATTCAAAGCCAATGTGTAGGAGAAAATAAAAGACATGAATTCTAAAACAAAAAAAAAAGGAATTTAAAAAGCCATTTGCAACCTGAAAGATTATACAAATGGAAAAACACAAGAAAAGAAATATCTGATATAGCAGCACACGGGTTAGGAATTAGGGGGCCATTTAAGATAAATTCTGTATCTGCCCTGAGCACAAACACACTTTGAGTTAACGGTTTTCCTCAGTTGTGAACAATACACATCTAGAGCCTGAACTTGAGGGTTACTGAAACACAGAGACAATATGCAGGTATCCTCAGAGGTGTAATCAATACTCACGTTCATATGCATCTCAGGAAATCATTTAATTGCCTTATTTTTAAAAACTCTGAAGACTAAAGCCATAGCCTATGTTTTAACCAGTTTCTAGCCACAGAAAACAGGCCCAAGAAACCGTGTCTTCTGCTGTATTCTAAATTTCACTTGGGCCATATATGATTTCATTAAGTATGTAAATAATTATTTTAATTCCCTAATAAGAAGAAGCACGAATTTATCTGATATGATGAGCTCAGGCTAGACTCCTGTTCGGCTAGCTGTTTTCATGGGGCTGTAACGCAACTTCAGCAGATTGTTTTCCACACTTGTGCTCCCTTCCACCTACTGTTGTGATGTTCATGGGAGACAATGTTGGCATCAGTACCTGGATTGTGAAAAGGATTCATCCAGGTTACCACCAAGTCATTTGCAAGATGATATATTCCTCCAATTAAGGGAAGTTTTGATCTTGAAGTTGCTTTCCAGATTCATGATTGCATGGCTTTTGACATATTAGTGGTCTCTCTGTTAGAAGACAGAATTTATTTACGGTAGCTGAGCCCTCATCACCACCAAGCCTATCTTTCATAGCACTGGGGTCAATGTTCAGTTGAATTTAAACACCCTGGGAAAAGTCATTTCAATATTGTGATCAGATGATACACATGGACTATGCATTACAGAAAATTTTGATACTGCTCAAATTAGGGTCTAGATCCTTTTAAGCCTATTAAATATGTTATGACTTGGAATTATCATTTCAGTATTGGCCAGTCTCATGTACTTTAGAATATCAAGCATGTAAATAGGAGATCAAGTTTCTTTTGCCAAAGACTCATCTTCTCCCTTTAGCTACTATTAATAAAACATTCTATTTTAATGTGAATTAACTTTGAAAAAGAGGTTGCAGCCCATAACAAAGGATTTTACCATGATGTGAAGCAAAATACATACTCATTATAAAAATCATAATAAAAATAAATCCTGCATATCAAGGACTTGAGTGAATTTGAGCTATAAGACAAAAAAGAAGCTGATCACACATTTACTAAATATTAACTCTCTACTGAGCCATGAGACAGATTAAAGTTCTAAAAATAAATATTAATGGAGAGTTTCTGCCAATACTATCCAAGAGAATATATTTTAATAGTGAATATATCAAGTAAGAATTTCTTTTCCCCAGAATTAAAATAAGCTAAAACTTCCTTTTAAAAAGAAATCCTTTACTAGTTTGAATTAGTATAACCTCCGTATATTTGTTATCCTTTAAGCATTGATTATTTGGGACCTAGAAAGTTGTCCTAACCTTTCAGTCTTTTGAGAAAGCTCTATGCACAACCTTGTCAAATGCCTGTATGTTGACTTACTTTTGATGAACATCTTGGTGATTTTAATAGAAAATTTTTGTATCCTAGCTTTTTCTCTATTACTTCATTGTGTAATTTTAGATAAATTCTTTAAAAGAACAATGGAAAAGATGTTTAAGATTCTACCATTTTAACAGATTTGTCATTCTGCTTCTTGATTTAGCCACACACAAAAAAAATTAACTCACACTTCTAGAGGTAATTACAAAATTTATATATTCATAGAAAACCAGCATAGAAGTAGATGATATCACAATTTGATATTTATGAAATGCCAGTTTTCCATAAATATAGAAAAATCAGCAATTATCACTGGAGCTGTTTATTAACATTTGGAAGCAAATAAATAAAAAATGGGCTCACTATTCATTAAAATTCCTCAATAATATAACAATCATTCCCATCTCAAAATAGTCTTATGTGATATCCGTGTTTTGACTTCAGAGTTACTTACACTCATCAGATTATACTTAAAATAATACTTGCTAACATATTCTTATTAGCCTTTTCCTATATTTTCTTAGATATTTACCAGTGTTAACTCTTTTTTAATTCCTGCATGTGTTTGTGTGTATGGTTAATTCAAAGCACAGTCGTTTGCTATCAAGAACCTGTCATATAAGTCAAGATTGTGGGGAAAATCCAAGATGGAGCTAGCATGGATCTTTTCCATAACTAGAAGCTGTATGTAGGTGGAAGTCCAGCTAGTCATTTGGTTCCTATGTTAAGAGTAGAGCTAGGTGAGAGTGTACGAGTGCACTGATCTGTGGAAACCCATCAGCATTTCTAGAAGAACCTCAGGGGCATACAGATGGGCACATTTATTCATTCACAATTTTAAGGAGGACACAAGTAACACATTCTTTACCGTCACAAACTATTACATTTTCTAAGAGAATACTTTCCAAAATCACCTGTTTGCTTCATCCTTTAGAAGTTTTGTGGGTTCCAGGTTTGTTATTATTGTGGTTTTCTCTCCCCTCTCAAAGGAACAGGATTTTAGATAGTCATATCTCTTGCCAAGGCTCCTTTCAGCTGTGGCTAAGGGAGCTATTTTAAGATGTCAGTTTCTAGCCAGTATGTTTTTAGGTGCAGGATTATAGTTTTTGAAGGAAGAAAGAGAGAACAGAAATAAAACAGGTTTAGGAAGATTGTCTTCTTAGAAACATAACTGTCAGTTATCTAACACTGTGTTGAAGAATTTAGGGTGAAAATAGAGAGAACATGGTGGCACACACCACCAAGATCATGGACTGGAACAGCTCAGAGATCAGGTACTGAGCCCCTTTCAGCTCCACCAGCAACACCCACAGGACCTCCCCTTAAGTGTTTACGGGCATGTGAATTCCTGATGCTGGCAATCACCCAGTGCATGTGGGTCATAAACATGAATTTTGGCATCATCTAATCTTAGATAAGTTGGAAGAAACCATAAAGTTCAATCATCCTAACCAACCTAATCTCTTCTACCTTGTCTGACAAATGATCCTTTAGCTTTTTTATCCTCAAATATATTAACTATTACTATCCATAGTTGTTGCCAAATATTTAGATAATCTTTTAGCATATGTTCTTAAAGAAGAAAAAAACATTCCTACAATCTCGTGTCTAGATTAGCCTTTGGTATATAACTATCTATTTATAGATACATACAAAATTATACTACAAAGTTTGCTCTATAACTCATTTATATCTACTTTATATCATGGACCTCTTTCTCTGTAAATAAGTATCTATATAGTCACTGTAAAGCCTGTATAGTCTGTGGATAGATCTACCATAACTTATTCAACCAATCTTTTATTGTTGGATAAATATACTATTTCATATTTTCTGATATTTTAAACACTGAAATTACAATCATGTCTTTGCAAACTTTTCCAGTTGTTTCTTTGAAAAAGTTCCTAGAAGTTCAGCTTCTTCTTGAACTTTTTTAGTCATGGGAAATTGTACACATCCCCAGGCAAACTTTTTCATCATAAGACAGTTCCAGTTGAAATAAAAGGTGCTCCTGGTTCTCATAAAGTAAGTCTAATTCCTCTTTTGGCTACAGCTATTTTTTAAATTCTGTGCACATTTTATAGTACTTTACTATTCAGATTTGGAAAGCTAGGATGAAACAAATATTTACTAAATACCCAGAAAGTGATGGGGACAATTTTTGTTTTGGGGATTTTTTGTTTGTTTTTCTTTGTTTCCAGCTTTATTGAAGTATAATTGACAAATAAAAATGTATATACGTAAGGTCATACAATGTATGTGCACATAGTGAAATGATTAAATCAAGCTAATTAACATATCCATTACCTCACAGTTACCTATTTTTGTATCTGTGGTGAGAACGCTTAAGATATACTATCTTAGTAAGCTTCAGGTATGGATTACTATTAACTATAGTCACCATACCATACATTATATCTCTAGATGTACATTCATCCTGCATAACTGAAACTTCGTACCCTTTGACTGAGTTCCCTCCATTCCTCCCACCCACCAGTCCCTGACAATCACCTTTCTACTCTCTGCTTATATGTGTTCAACTTTTTCAGATTCCACATGTAAGTGTTATCATATAGTATTTCTTTTGGTGTCTGGCTTATTTCACTTAACATAATGTCCTCTAGGTTAATCCACGTTACCCCAAATGACAGAAATTTCTTCTTTTTTAAGGCTGAATAGTATTCCGGTGTGCGTGTGTGTGTGTGTGTGTGTATATGCATGTATACACTGCATTTTCTTCATCTATTTATCTATTGCTGGACAACTAGGTTGATTTTACATCTTTGCTATTGTGAATAATGCTGCAGTGAATACAGGAGTGCAGATATCTATATGAGGTGCTCTTTCCATTGGAAATACACCCCAAAGTGTGATTGTTGGATCAGATAGTAGCTCTATTTTTACATTTTTGAGTAACCTCAATTCAGTTTTTCATAATGGCTATACCAATTTACATTACAGTTTACATTCTCACAAAAAGTGTAAAAGGGTTCCCTTTGTCAACATTTGCTATCTTTTGTCTTTTTTATAATAATTTTAGGTTATAGCTTTTTATGTATTGATAACAGCTAAAAATTACTATTACTCAGAAATTACGTTTTCTATATTTCTTACCTCCTGTTGATCCTTCTGTGAACATTCCCTGGTAGTTCCATCTGACCTTAGACATTTAAAGTGAAATGTAGAGTTATATAAATATTGCATTTTTTTGTATGTTTCTAATGTCACATAATTTCACCTGATATCTAAAATGATCCAAAAGATCATCTTCTATTTTTAGATTTGGATAGATGGGACAGAGATTGTTAATTTTTTTCCACTATCCATTCTCTCTTATCCCTTAGTAACAGAAAGGAGAATTATGAACAGATAGAATACGATATTTCCCAACCTTTTTGCAGCTAAGTGTGAGAATATACTTACGTTCTAGCCATTGGAATGTAATTGGAAATGTTCTGAAGAACTTCCAGCTTGATGGAAATTGACTTAACTGGCATGAACATCCTTTTTGTTCTTTTCCTTTTTTATTTCCGATACATGATGCCTGGTACCTCGGTAGCCCTCTTGGACTATGAGGTAATCTTGCAGTTGGAAATTAATCCCTAGGATGGCAGAACAAAACGGTAAGAGAAGCCAAGTGACTAACAACCATAGCCCTTCCATATCAGGCACAGTTGACTGCTTCCAGACTTCTTTTAGGTTTGAGAGAAATAAATTCCTGTTTCATTTAAGCCATTGTTATTTCTGGCTTCTTTCAATAGTTTTTCTCATTTATCAGTTACTAATTGTTTGATGTAATTTCTATCAGAGGGGGCTTACCCATTAGTGCTACGAGGGAGTAATTATTAATTATTCTAGCTCTACCAGGATCTTGCCTCAAAGGATGACAAATTCAGAGTAGATAAAAAGAATGACCCCATCAAAAAAGAAAGTCATATAAAGTACGTATACTCAAAGCATACATAATCATATTGGAGAGAAATTTATTGATTTATGTAATAATCCTAATAACCTTGGATTACTTTGTATAATATACAACTAATACTTTGGTATATACTAAGCACTCATAAAGTTTATCATATATTTGATAGTTTACATTTGATAATGATTGTGGCTACATTTTTGGTAAGTTAAATTCCTCTCACTTCTTTTCGAAAGTATCAGAAGCAGGATGGCTTGGCTATAACAAAGACAAAGGTTGAAGTGAATATGACAGAGGTAAGCTGGGAGAAGAAAGGATCTGATGGTTAGGATCTCACTGGTCTTATATGAATGTATGCCTATTTCTTAGAAGGCAATGAGGATGAGAAATACAAGGGAAAAGAAAGATTCAGATGAGGAAAAAAGAGGAGGAAATAAAAGAGATGAAGAGAAACTTTCTGCCTATCCCCTGACTCCAAAGGCTATGCAGCCACAAAACCTTTGTTCTCCTTTGTCTAGTTCCCTCTTTTTTGCTTCTTCCTTGGTCCACAATGAGAAACAGTTGTAGAAAAAAATCTAAGGAGCAATGACTGAAAGTCTTCAACAGTCAGAGGAAGATTCAGGATGAAAGGGAATGGAAGAGCAGCCACAATCTTCTCATGGTCAGAGAGAACTCACGGAGTTTGCCATTTGCAGTAATTATTTTATATATATCTCCCTGGTATGATTTCCATTTTAAATTCCTTTTCCTATTATGCAAAAAAATTGAATACTAACATAGTCAATTTAAATGTAAGATAACAATGATGAACATAATTCAAACAGCAATGTCATAAAGCTATTCTAAATTAACTTTGTAAAAATAGGTTTAAATTTTATTCAATGTATACTTTAATAGGGTTCTAAAATCTTTCAGAAAACAACTACGGAAGTTTTGTATTTGTGGGTAAGCTTGAATCACTACTAAAGAGCTGTCAAGAGAGCAACTATAAATGAATTTTAATGGCATTAATAGTAGTCATTTCCATCTGGAAAACTTGGGGGAAGAGAAAATGTTCATCTTTTTCTCTAAAAGTCAAGAAAGACAGCATCTTACCCCGACACCATGGGGTAAGGTTCTTGGTACAATTACTACTTCTGTTATATGAAAAAGCAAAGGAAGAATGATAAAGAGGGAACAAAACTAAAGGAAATTATTTCCTTGGAAAACTGATAAGAAGGTATTCACATAAATTATCCCAACTAGAGTACCCATTTAGCAAACACAAAACCAACAATGATCCTAGATACCCAATGTAGCCCAAGAAGATTTTATATGCCTCAAGAAGGATTTCAACTGTGAACTAGAAATCAAGGTAAATTGGATGACAGCTTTCATTCAGGGCATAGTAACTGGAGTTTATTCAATAAATTTGGTAGTAAGAATTATTTACTTCACAATGAAATGTGTACTAGGTTTACTTATTTTAAATATGTGGAGATAGCATTTTTGTGATTATTTAAAATGTTTAGGATGAAGAAGGAAGCAAAAAAACCTTTGTTCTCACTGTAAAAAACAAACAATAATAACAACAAAATCAGGGAAAATTAAAAATTATACTCATCAATGCGGCTAGCAAAGAACAGAGGATGCAAGGAAGCCTGATTAACTCAGTTCCAGGGAAACAAATACTTCATAGGTGAGAAAAATCTCCAGGGGCAGCTGTCTGATCTGTAGGGAATCAATGGAAAATTTGCCATAGATGAAGAGACTGCAGGGACAAAGACAGTCTGGGCTGGCATAATGGATTAGAATCTGGAATATACCCAAAGGCAAACTGCTTGAAAATCCCTCTCTCTCCATCCTTAACCCTAGCCTGAATCCAATAAACAAGATACTAGAAATTAGAAAGAAATCACATAGTCTTCTTTGCACGTGGATTCTTGAGCCCTGCAGATACGAATCCAAAAATCAATCAATAATATCTGAAACTGTAGCCCAACCTTCTCCCCACTTAAATACTGACAAGATCAAAAACAAAGTGCCAGCACAGGAGTTTGGGGGCTGGGCTAGTCACAGGTGATCTTAATCTAATCAATGCTGCAGTCTGACACAGGCTCCACTCTGCTCTCAGAGAAATCTGAATGAACTGGCCTCAGCCTAACCACTGAGAAGAAGGGGTTTGAATATTCTGAGGAATCAGTGAAATGAAACGAAGTTTTTCCTCAATCTCCGCTGTGTAATACATAGTGTTTAGAGTACAGTACAAAATGATGAAACTTGAGTAAGTAGAAAAACATGAATCATATTAAAATAAAACACAGTTGATAAAAACAGATATTGAAATTAGTAGAAAACTTTAAAATAACTAGTATAAATATACTAAAGAATACACAGGAAAACATGGATATAATGCATTAAGATAGATATTTCAGAAAAGAACTATTTTTAAAAATCAAAGGGAAATTCTAGAACTAAATAATGCAATATTTGAAACTTTTAAAAAGTAATAATTTAAAAAATTGGATAAGTTTAATAGCAGATTGGACATTGCAAAAGAAAAGATTCATGACCTTGATGATAGGTTAATAGAAACGATTCAAATTGAGTCAGAAAGGGAAAAATGATTTAAAGAAAAATAAACAGTGCACCAGTCACTTATAGGATATCAAATGTACTAATACGCATGTACTTGGGAGTCCCAGATTTATTGGCATACAAATCATTCAAAAATAAAAATTAATTGGAGAAGAGTGCATGGGGCTACCGTGTGTGCGTGTGTGTGTGTGTTTTAAGGAGGGAAGTGAATTTGCTATAAATCTATAGTTTAAAAAAATGAAAAGAAGGAAAGAAATGAAGATGAAATAAAGACATTTTAGATAAATAAAAGGTAAGAGAATTCTGCAGCAGCAGATTCACACTATAAGAAATGTTTCAGGGAGAAAGGCAATGATATTTGATGGAGATACTACACAAAAGAAGGAAGAAGACTAGAAATAGTAAATATTTTGACCCCTTCCAAAGGCTTTTTTTTCCTTTTTTTCATTTTTTTAAAAAACAATTTATTGCTATAAGCAAAGACAATAATTAAATTTATGGGTTTTATAACTTATGTAGAAGTCAAATGTATGACAATAGTGTGATGGCTAATTTTATATGTCAACTTGTCTGGGCTAAAGGATGCCTAGATGGCTGGTAAAGAATTATTTTTTGGTGTGTTTGTGAGGGTGTCTCTGGAAGAGATTAGCATTTGAATCGGTAGACTGAAGAAAGAAGATGCCCTCACCAATACAACTGGGCATCATGTAATCTGTTGAGGACCTGAAAAGAACAAAAAGGAGGAAAGAAAAATTTGCTTCTCCTATTTGAGCTGAGACATCTATCTTCTCCTGCCCTTGAACATCTGCATTCCTGATTCTCCAGCCATTAAACTCAAACCAGTACTTACCATCATCAGCCTCCGTCCACCCCATTCCAGGTCTTTGCACTCCGACTGAATGACACCACTGGCTTTTCTGGTTTTCCAGCTTCCAGATGGCAGATGATGGGACTTCTTGGCCTTCATTATCAAGTGAGCCAATTCCCGTAATAAATATACAACTATATAATGATATATAGGTAGATAGATGATAGATAAATAGATTTTTAAAAAATATATCCTATTAGATAGATAATAGATAAACAGAGTTTTAAAAATATAATCTATTACTTCTACTTCTCTGGAGAACCCTAATACAGGCAGAAAAAAAAGAAAGAAGCAAATATACTCAATAAGACTAAAGACCTGAATAATAGTATCTGAACGGGCTCCAAGGACTGGCATGATTAGTGATAGAACAGTGAGTTATAAGAACTGCAACTATCATGTTAGGTCAGAGCTGCATTATGCTAACAGGTTAGAACATGAATATTTGATGCATCTTGACATATTTGCTAACTGTCCCAACTCTCAGATAGTACAATAAGCAATAAAGGAAATTATGACTCTGAAATTAATCATTATACCAATAAGGCAACACTTGTTCGTGAATTGAAAGTGACAGAAACCTTGGAATACAGTAACATTCGTGATAATAACAGACGTGGAAACACTGGATGGTCAGCACCATTAAGGCCATGGAAATGTGGGCTTCTGACCAGCAGCAACGGCTTCATCTAGGAATTGTTAGAGATGCAAAATCTAGAGCCTCAACAGAGATCTATGGAATTAGAATCTGCACTTTAACAAAATGTCAGGTAATTCCTATTCAAATTAAAGTTTGAGAAGCACTGTTCTAGAATGCTTTTTAAAGTTCAGATTCCTGGGTTCCCCAAAAGATCTGTTGAATCACTCACTGTTGGTGAAGACTATACTTAAAATATGAATATTTGGTAAACTTCCAGGTTCTTCTCTATGCACTAACATTTGCCTATCACAGTCATAATAGCAGAATTTTCCCAGGTGAATTCATTAGAACATAGTCCTTCAAGATGCTCCTTGAATAAAAAAAAGTTACAAATTAAAATATATGTTGGAAGCCCTACTATATCACCCTTTGGAAATTGCATGCTCTGAGAAGTCATTCAGAAAAAAAGTGCC